TTCCCCCCTATACGGCGCCCCTGGGTGGAGGGTTAAAGCACATTCAGGTAGTCAGGCAGCACCGTTAATGTTCAGGTGTCTGTGAAGATGTATCTAAGGTAAACAGACAATCTCATTCACTGCAGGTGAAGAGGATTTTTAATAAACGTTATGTTTATATATGCAAATCAGGTATTACATAATACAACTGTGCAGCTTTGTGTACACTGGATGAATTTGTTCATTATGAAACAAGTTGGTTTTTACATTTTTATTTGATTGTTAATATTTGCCTTTAAATGTAAAGAATTGTTTCTAAAACTGACTATTATTTTGAAAGCTCACACAGTCTTTGGAAGTGTCTTAAACCTGCATTCTTTCTAACAGCCAGCAGGGGGAAGCTCCACTCTAATAGTACTGAGTCTTAGAGAGAGAGAGAGAGAGAGAAAGAGAGATGTGTCCACGTTTGCAGCTTTAATTGATTTTTCGTCCACTTGGGGGCGATGTAACGAGCTCATGAAGCTGAGCTGGTTGGTAAACAGCAGCACAGAGTCAGTTACTGTTGCTGTGTTATGACTTAAATAATAATAAAAGGAGGGAGGAGGAGAGTTTGATGGTGCGATGAGGAAGAATCACAGACACGTTTTCATGCTCCAATAACGTTTGTCTGAGGTTCCTCTGGAAACACAAAGTGGTGCAGAAATGATTCAACAAATCCTGTGGTTCTCCCTGGTAAAATAAACCTGTTTGTGTCTTTATGTTTTCAGCTTTTATTTGATGTTTTTCTCTCTTACACGTTGTATTTATATGAATAGTGTGACTTTTATAAGGACAGCTTTCTTTACAATGACAGAAACATAGAAGCATTTACTTTAATAGAATACTCACATATACACGTTACTATATGTCCATCAGAGTATTTCTTTGATTTCTAGTTTATATTTAACTGTTTTCTTTCTCTTATCCTTTATTTATCGACTTATTGTTTACGTTCCTGTCCTTTATTTAATATAACCATCCCTTAACCTTTCTTGTTTGTTTGGATTTGGTTTGTTTTTTCTTTCTTTTTCTTTTCTTGTTACTTTTCTTTTCTCTCTTGTTTGTTCTTTTTTTCTTGGTTTTTGTTGGGTAATGTTTTGTTGATGTAATATCTCACTTTGTACCTTTAATCTGTGCGTCTGTGTCGAAGCACTCTGCAGTAAAAGCAGCACATGATAATAATGTATATATCTGTTTGGACTCAAAGGGTCGAGGTGAAATAGATCCTGTACCTGCAACGAAGCACATTTCTGAATGAGTTCTGTTTGTCACTGTTGTTGTCGGTGTTGTTGTGGCACACCTAAATCAAACTTCCTCCTTGCTGATGGTACAAGCTGCGGCCACATTCAGCAGGACGCCGTGAGAACGAGCTGATTGAAGCGCAGACAGGAGGAGTAAATGTTCAGTGAGAACATTTCATTATAGTTATAGAACTCACCACTTTCATTCAGATTCCTTTAATATAATAATATTAATAAAAACACTAATAATAAGTATTCTGATGTAACATACACAATATATATATAGCCATGTAAAACGCATCGTAATATATCTTTTTTTTTTAAATATTGAGTATTAATGTAATGAGATATTGTACACATAGATAATGTTATATATAACTATAATGCCTGTATCTTGAAAGACAACCTGTCCTTTATTTAAAGTCCACTTGAAACAGGAAGCAGAGAAATGCTTATTTACGTATTTTCTGTAAAAAAAAAAAGTTTAGGGTAAGTAAGCAGTTAGGGAGGGACTTGTTGCAGGGTTTTTTAACCAGGTTTGGCACCCAGGGCTAACTCAGCTAACTAGCTAAAAGTATTCAACATTAGCTCCCAGTGAACAGCAGGTCCAGACCGGGACTAATGCAGCATCTGATGCTGACGGAGGACAGTTTGACTGCAGGTAATAAAGGACTGAGGTGCTGGCTAACTGGGTATCGGCATCTAATATTACGGTTAGCGACAGTTAGCTTCTTTTAGCAACAAGTCTATCTGGAAACTCCATAAATCAAATCATGAACTTTTCGCCAGCTCTCGGCTAATCTAAAAATGGGCACAGAGGTGGAGCTGAGGCAGATGAACGAAGACTGGTTACTGAAAACAGCAGGTTGGTGATCACTCACTCCTTCATGCCTGTTTTTTTAAACAAATCATCTGGCAAAGTCAGGTTAACGGACCTCTGAATCGCTGCCTAAATCCAACCAGTCTACGAGTACTACTTGAGTTCTCAATGTAACAGCTTTCAGAATGCCTAGCTTGAACCGGAACGCAGTTTGCTGATTGCTTACGTGACTTCTGTGCAATGACGTCCTTCAAACTTTCAGTAACAGAATCCTCTTCCTTCCACCAAAGTGCAGCAGTAAATAATCCAACCACAAGTCTGTTAGAATCCAATAGATTTCTGCACATATTTTCAGTTGTGATTGTTGTTTGTTAGCTTTAAGCTATAGCACGCTGGCCTGTTTTATGGACGTGGTGAGCGACGACTTCCTGTTGATCCTAGTGGAGCTCAACCGTCCGTCGCTGCTCCTCCTCTCAGTTCTTGCTCCTTGCCCTGTCGCGACCTCTGTGGTGCTGAAGCACCCTCCTCAGGCCCAGCTGAGCCCGGAAAGCCTTGCAGAAGATGAAATAGATGAGCGGGTCCAGGCAGACGTTGAGAACCGACACCATGATGCTCAGCTCCTTCAGGAAGAAGAACGTCTGGCTCCACGAGCATTGCCACTCCAGTAACGCGTAGGGAAGTCGAAACAGGTGGTAAGAGACGAAGCAAACGCAGAAGACACTGACCAGAACCAACATGTTCCTGCGGGACTTGGCGAGCTTCTTGTTGCTGGGGGATGTGGGCTGCCTCTGCTGTGCCAGCGACAGCCTGGCACAGCAGTGCTGTAGTAGAAGTGCTGTAGTAGAAGAAGACCAGGGACAAAAGGACGAGCAGGAAGATGGCGGCGGAGGAGGTGTGGATGATTTTGTAGTACAGGCTGAGCTGTTTGCTGTACTGGACTTCACAGGGCACTGTGGCACCAGAGGGAAACGTTTCCTGGGTGAGGAGTGACAGGATGATGTAGATGCCCAACATGGCCAAGAGGACACCCCAGGTTACCGTGGAGATGATGTG